GTTTTCGTCGACGGCACTTGCAGGACAGGGCGGAGGCGCGGACGTCATTCTTGAGCGTAGGCCCATGGAACTTTCTCTAGATCAAGAGCGTCGTACGCGCCGTGCCAGGGTGTCCATACATACCGTGAACCAGCGCCAACACCGCGGGCATAAGCTTTTTGGGGACAGAAATCGCATACACACAGCCTCGCGGTGCGTGCGAGAGCAGGTCGTCGTCTGCCAGGACATACTCGCAGTCTTCGCCTCGTCCAGCCTCCAGCTCGCTCCGCAAAGGTTGAAGGAAGTCGTCTTGACGCTGCGCTTCTACGAGTTGAGGCGTGTCTCGCAGGGTGTCCTCCATCCGTGCCAGCTGGGCGGAGAGGCCTCGGGCGCAGGTCTGGTATGTCCATCGGGAGGTGATCATCCGCGGAGTGGCTGCTGGCTTGGTCCAGCGTCGGCGGCAGTGACGGTGATAGTGGTGGAGGGTCACTCGCGTGGGCGGGTAGCGCAACTCCAGATGGCGGAGGGCCACTCGAACGAGCAGGTAGCGCACCTCCAGATGGCAGAGGGCCACCCGCATGAGCAGGTAGCACACCTCCAGGTGGCAGAGGGCCACTCGCATGAGTAGGTAGCAAACCTCCAGATGGCGGAGGGCCTTGAGCAGGGAGCGCACCTCCAGCCGGCGAAGGGCCACCAGCGTGAGCAGGTAGCACACCTCCAGCCGGCGGATGGCCACTCGCACGAGCAGGTAGCGCACCTCCAGATGGCAGAGAGCCACTCGCGTGAGCAGGTAGCGCGCCTCCAGCCGGCGGAGGGCCACTTGCATGAGCAGGTAGCGCACCTCCAGCCGGCGGAGAGCCACTCGCATGAGCAGGTAACGCGCCTCCAGTCGGCGGAGGGCCATGAGCAGGTAGCACACCTCCAGGTGGCAGAGGGCCACTCGCATGAGCAGGTAGCACACCTTAAGATGGCGGAGGGCCATGAGCAGGGAGCGCACCTCCCGCCGGCGGATGGCCACTCGCATGAGCAGGTAGCGCACCTCCAGCCGGCGGAGGGCCACTCGCATGAGCAGGTAGCGCACCTCCAGATGGCAGAGGGCCACTCGCGTAAGCAGGTAGCGCGCCTCCAGCCGGCGGAGGGCCACCAACGTGAGCAGGTCGCACACCTCCAGGTGGCAGAGGGCCACTCGCTTGAGCATGTAGCACACCTCCAGATGGCGGAGGGCCATGAGCAGGTAGCGCACCTCCAGCCGGCGGAGAGCCACCAGCGTGAGCAGGTAGCACGCCTCTAGCCGGCGGAGGGCCACTCGAACGAGCAGGTAGCACACCTCCAGGTGGCAGAGGGCCACTCGCATGAGCAGGTAGCGCACCTTCAGCCGGCAGAGGGCCACTCGAACGAGCAGGTAGCGCACCTCCAGCCGGCGAAGGGCCACCAGCGTGAGCAGGTAGCACACCTCCAGGCGGCAGAGGGCCACTCGCATGAGCAGGTAGCACACCTCCAGATGGCGGAGGGCCATGAGCAGGTAGCGCACCTCCCGCCGGCGGAGGGCCACCAGCGTGAGCAGGTAGCACATCTCCAGCCGACGGATGGCGACTCACATGAGCAGGTAGCGCACCTCCAGCCGGCGGAGGGCCATAAGCAGGTAGCGCACCTCCAGTCGGCGGAGGGCCACCAGCGGGAGCAGGCAGCGCACCTCCAGCCGGCGGATGGCCACTCGCATGAGCAGGTAGCGCACCTCCAGCCGGCAGAGGGCCACCAGCGTGAGCAGGTAGCACGCCTCCAGCCGGCGGAGGGCCACTCGAACGAGCAGGTAGCACACCTCCAGGTGGCAGAGGGCGACTCGCATGAGCAGGTAGCACACCTCCAGATGGCGGAGGGCCACTTGCATGAGCAGGTAGCGCACCTCCAGCCGACGGATGGCGACTCGCGTAAGCAGGTAGCGCACCTCCCGCCGGCGGAGGGCCATGAGCAGGTAGCGCACCTCCCGCCGGCGGAGGGCCACCAGCGGGAGCAGGTAGCGCACCTCCAGCCGGCGG